CAGCCCGGGGAAGGGTACACGTTACTCACTGGAACACCCGGGGCAAGGATACACCTTAGTGTCTGGAACAGCCCGGGGGAAGGATACACCTTAGTGTCTTGAACAGCCCGGGGGAAGGGTACACGTTACTCACTGGAACACCCGGGGGAAGGATACACCTTAGTGTCTGGAACAGCCCGGGGGAGGGGTACACGTTACTCACTGGAACACCCGGGGCAAGGATACACCTTAGTGTCTGGAACAGCCCGGGGGAGGGGTACACGTTACTCACTGGAACAGCCCGGGGGAAGGGTACACGTTACTCACTGGAACACCCGGGGGAAGGATACACCTTAGTGTCTGGAACACTGGAACAGCCCGGGGGAAGGGTACACGTTACTGTCTGGAACACCCGGGGGGAGGATACACCTTAGTGTCTGGAACAGCCCAGGGGTGGGGTACATCTTACTGTCTTACACCTTACATCTTACTACAGCACGGAGCCACAACAAAGAAACAAATTATCAGAATAACGGGAATTGCGACTGGAAGGTTTCATCAATAAAACAAAGACCAAAGTAATTACCGAGACTATATTTTGATAACTACCCAGGTCTCATTTGCTACTGTTGCTCCATTCTTAGTCCGATTCACACTAAAACAACCCTCTAATCAAATTAGACAGATAAATGCTTTTTTTACACGTTAGAAATAGGACTGATGGGGATGCCACTTGCGAAACGAACCTTGTGAGCGAAATGGTCCAGGTTATTGTTCTCAGCCGATTAGAGATTAACTACCCTGGTTAATTCAGGATATGGCGGTACAACTACAAGAGGATGATTATACTGTATAGCTATAATCCAGGTATGATGAAAATAATACCGTGAAAAGTGAATTAACTGGCGGGCGGGCGAGATAAAATGTTCACTGTACAATTTGATATGAAATAAACGTTACTATCGTTTTCGAAATATTACAGTTTGATGAGAACAGTTGATGCATCACTGGATACGCAAGGTCCAAATTTTATCCGTATCAAGTTCATTACCGTCGAATAACTGTTATTTGATTGTCACGTGCTCACTCACCTTTAAACAAGGAGGTACGCTTCATTTTATCCGGCAGCGCTTCTTAAAAACAAAATGGAATGCGTCCCCATGTTCACATTTGGTAATTGCGCTCAAACTAACGTACCACCTTCAAACGAATGGGGCGGTTGGTTAGCCTAGTGGTTAAAGCGTTCGCTCCTCACGCCGAAGGCCCGGGTTCGATTCCCCACATTGGTACAATTTGTGAAGCACATTTCTGGTGTCCCCCGCGTGATATTGCTGGAATATTACTAAAAACGGCGTAAACCCATACTCAGTCAGATCAGTCAAACGAATGGTGTTTAAACACAGAGCCTCTGTTTCCTTGTATAAATCTGCATTCCGTTCAGTTTCATTTACAAGGAAAGTACAGATTTGATGTCCAAGCACCTACCCCCAGCATTTCTTTAACAATTAGTTCATCTGACATTTAGTCCGGCACTATTTGTTTCAAGGCTAACGAAACAGTTAACGTAACGCACAACCCTCAAACGAATGCAGGAGTGGTTGGGCAGCCTTGTGGATAAAGCATTTGCTCGTCACACCGAAGGTGCGGATTCCCTACATGGGTTCAATGTGTGTTGTCCGATATTGCTGGAATATTGCTGGAATATTGCTGGAATATTGCCGGAATATTGCTTAAAGCTAAAAAGCTGCCAAAAGCTGTTCATGATTAGGGTTATACTTACGTACTTCTCTGACTCTGATTTAACACACAATTATTATCATTGTGAATAAACATATTGCAGGTGATTCTGTGGCTTTTGATTGGCTAAAGTTTTTCGAGGTTTTGTTTCTACAAATCGACGAAACATTGTTTCTCCCGACTGGCTAGGAAATCGAAGGGGCACTGCTTGTATCACCGAACTGAACTATGTCATTTGTTTCAAAGTACTGCCCACAGTTTCTGTTTTAATGATTAAACAAGTCGCTGTGAAGTTAATGTTGAAATATTTACTTTGAAGATCTGACTTCAATTGATTGGCGGATTTATGCGACTTCACACCGGTTTATACTTCTATTAACGCAAAATAGTGAGTGAGTGAATAAGTTTTACTCCGCATTTAGCAATATTCTAGCAATATCACGGCGGGGGACACCAGAAATGGGCTTCCCATATTGTACCCATGTGACATTGTATCCATGAGGGGAATCGAACCCGGGTCTTCCGCATGACGAGCGAACGCTTTAACCACTAGGCAAATCCACCACCCCGAATGCAAAAGTCAAGTTGTACATGGCAGATCACACATGTTCATTGGACAATAAGTAGTGGAAGCAACTGACTGATGATTCTGTCTCTCTGCTACTTCACATTATATTTCAGCCTCATTCGCAACGTTGCATAAGGGCCGAGGAAACATTTGTTTGAAATGACATTTTAATCGCCAAAGGCTCGATATGGAATCACACGCCGCTAATGATCAAATATTATGAATGTTCCTTAAGGTTAACACAAAATACCTGAGCTAGATAATTTACGGTATAAGTATACAAAGTGAAGGTCAAGGCTTCCGATGTATGTTACATATGTCGTTTGTATAACATGCCAATATACTTATCGTGGTGTGCAACCAAACCAACAACCGGTAGCAGTGGCAGCTCATTGGTATCTTCCGAGGTTAACGATATCATGTCACGGTATAGGATTAGCCTTGTTTTGTTAATACTAACGCTACTTCAGCTTAAACTAGTATGAGGAGAGTAACCAGGCGAAGTCAGCGAGTCTTTTACGGTAAGGGACAGTGGGGTAGCCTAATGGTTACAGCGTCCGCTCGTCACGCTGAAGACCTGGGTTCGATACCCCACATTTGAACAATGTGTGAATCCCATTTCTGGTGTCTCCCGCGGTGATATTGCTGGAATATTGCTAAAAGCGGCTTAAAACCATACTCACTCCTTTGCGACAAGCATGAGTTGATGAAGATCCATTCTAACACGGACGTTCAGAGTAGTGTCATTGTACTTGAAGGTAAATGGATACTACATAACCTTGTGTAAATATTTAAATGAAAAAACCTGACTGAGGTAATGTAGACAAGTCAGCGAGCTTTGCGTCTTTAGTAGACTAAGGCTTAGTCACTGAATATATATAATTTTGATAGTAACAAACAAGCCAATTTATATTGAAAAGTGAGACCAGAGATTCAGAGCCTGAGGAAATCTAGACTTGCTTTATTTAGGGCTTTAGCACCACAGATAGGGCTTGGCAGTAGGAAATTAATGTGGTTCAGGGACTGTGAGACAGACTACGTCTTTAGATACGTTTACAAATGCACGGAGATATATCGGAGATGAGTGTAATTATTCAAATATCATTCAGTTTCTGAGAGCGTGGGCTCAAATACAGGTTGGAACTCAATCTCCCCAAAGTAATAGAATCTAAGCTTTACTGTGAAGATGTAATCCCACATATAACATATCTTACGTTCCAAGTTTATGCAATTTAAAAAGGAATAAACAAAACAGTTTCAGTACCATCCACATGTACACAGCAACCGAGAGATAGAAAAAAAGTAACAAGAGCGGAAGTCAGTGATTTCATGATGCTGTCAAAAAGTTTCCCGTTCTAATACTGTAAACGACTAAATATGTATCATTATCAAAGTGAAAGGCCATGTTAGCGCTTTATCAATGCAATAAGGCTCTCTCATACCTGATAAAGCGCCAATTTGGCATGTGCAGCGAACAGCGAGCTCCAATTTGACTTCCAATATTCCACTTAGAGAGGTCTTAATGCGTCTTCTGAAAATGTCAGCACAGTCCAGTCTGATAAAAGCAGTGTTTCAAGCGTGTAATTTACAAGTAGACATATATATCGAATTTTCACGGACAGTTTATTGGATGTTCTAGTGGATATCTGTGACTCGTTTATTCACCCTTTTTACCCCAGCTAAAATCACGAACAAAATGCCTGACGCTGCCCTCTGTTCCACTGCATGGACACAAATAATGCTACGTGAAAACGATCTACATTATCGCATGTCCTGATAATGTTGATACCCGTGAAGTCCAGGTTAGAATTGGTCTCAAGCAACCCATGCATGTCGCAAGAGGCCATAACGGGATCCGGTTGTCAGACACATGTCATCGTATCCCAATTGCGTAGATCGTTACTCATGCTGTTCTTCACTGGATTGTCTGGTCTAGACTCGAATATTTACAGACCGCCGCCATATAGCTGGAATATTGCTGAGGGCGTCGTTACAAAACAATCAACGTCAGAGGCGACCAATGGGATCGGGTTGCCATGCTCGCTGACTTGGTTGATACATGTCATTTTATCCCAACTGCGCAGATCGAACAAACAAAATGGTACACATGCATGGCTTATACGTGCAGAGTTTTCCTATCACATGAAGCTGACATAAAACCAAACGGATTAACTGTTAGTGTGTGCAAGTATGATAGTACCTGAACCACATTATTTTCCCTACTGCCCTTTTGTCGACCGTTTCGGCTAGATAGTATCAAGTAGCTTATCGTAAAAATGACCATGACCAAATTTTTTTTCATAGGTACCATGGATACATTTACAAGAAAATCAGGAGGTTAGACTGCTTTAAGGAGCATACGTTTTGCTTATACCATCTCTAATTTGTAAACTAAATTATAGAAATATGCCAAACATTTCGATCATCAAAGATCCGGACGTTTTGATTGTCAAATCATCACTTTATTGAAGTGCTATTATATTAATATGACAGATAAATAATAAATGAGAGTATGTAGCAGGTTTGATAGATGATTTGACAATTATGTTACACCACACACACTCAATCCTCACTAAAAATAAATTGAATATCCTTAATAAGGGTCAAGCCGGGTAGTGTCAAGCACTGTAATACGGATGTTGCTCAGTGTGATAAATATGATGCATAACATTTGACAGGAACAATCATTAATTTATTCTTAGTTATAATCTTCTGATTACAAAGCTTCTGATTTACATTCATTCTTCGCCATCTCCTTATTCTTAACGTCTTCTGCGCTCTTCGTCTTGATCTGAAAGAATGAAACAACTATGAAGGTGCTGTTACAAACAAACATGACATATTTCATTAGTTGAAAGTCTGTGGTGTGCGAGTACTGATTATTCAAAAGAAACACAATAACAAATACTCTTGTCTGTGAGAATGTGGTAGCATTTCTAACCTTCTTCCTCCTCATCTTCTTCGTCCTCCTCATCTTCTTCGTCTTCCTCATCGTCTTCGTCTTCCTCATCTTCTTCATCTTCTAAACATATTGGAAGAACATTGTATTTCAAATCTGGACAAGATCCATCCAAAACACCATGCGTTTAAATCAAGGAGCTGAATTGGCCTTGGTTATATTTACTAGTATACAGTGTGTTATGACAACAATCTTTATATCTTGTCTTTCACTAGTTGACTTTTTGTGGCATGTGGGAACTGGAGGAAAAGGGAATGAACCAGGTGAATATGGAAGTAGGAAGTAGTTTTGCTAACCGTCTTCATTTTCTTCATCTTCGTCTTCCTCACGTTTTCTGCTTTCTTCACCTTCATCTAGAACAATCATACACAATTGTATTGCATCTCTCAAGAAACTATATTCAAAACATCATACGTTTCCATGAAAAGAGTGAACGGGACTTCATGGCACTGCATGCGTTCAGTCTTGTTTCATGTCAGTATGGGTAGCATGCTTCCTTTCACTTCTTGAATTACTCTTGAATGTGGCAAATGATACTAATGGAGAATGTGTATTGCCACTCTACAGAAGTTGCATCTATAAACCTGTCTTTTAAAGCAAGGGCCAGAACTTGCCATCCAGATATGTGCAAGCCTACAGTGTCAAAGGACAAAATACATCATAGTCTTTCTTCCACCAGTTGAATGTCTGTGGTGTGCGAGTACTGATTATTCAAAAGAAACACAATAACAATTACTCTTGTCTGTGAGAATGTGGTAGCATTTCTAACCTTCTTCATCATCTTCGTCCTCCTCATCTTCTTCGTCTTCCTCATCGTCTTCGTCTTCCTCACCTTCTTCATCTTCTAAACATATTGGAAGAACATTGTATTTCAAATCTGGACAAGATCCATCCAAAACACCATGCGTTTAAATGAAGGAACTGAATTGGCCTTGGTTATATTTACTAGTATACAGTGTGTTATGACAACAATCTTTATATCTTGTCTTTCACTAGTTGACTTTTTGTGGCATGTGGGAACTGGAGGAAAAGGGAATGAACCAGGTGAATATGGAAGTAGGAAGTAGTTTTGCTCACCGTCTTCATTTTCTTCATCTTCGTCTTCCTCACGTTTTCTGCGTTCTTCATCTTCATCTAGAACAATCATACACAATTGTATTGCATCTCTCAAGAAACTATATTCAAAACATCATACGTTTCCATGAAAAGAGTGAACGGGACTTCATGGCACTGCATGCGTTCAGTCTTGTTTCATGTCAATATGGGTAGTATGCTTCCTTTCACTTCTTGAATTACTCTTGAATGTGGCAAATGATACTAATGGAGAATGTGTATTGCCACTCTACAGAAGTTGCATCCATAAACCTGTCTTTTAAAGCAAGGGGCCAGAACTTGCCATCCAGATATGTGCAAGCCTACAGTGTCAAAGGACAAAATACATCATAGTCTTTCTTCCACCAGTTGAATGTCTGTGGTGTGCGAGTACTGATTATTCAAAAGAAACACAATAACAATTACTCTTGTCTGTGAGAATGTGGTAGCATTTCTAACCTTCTTCATCATCTTCGTCCTCCTCATCTTCTTCGTCTTCCTCATCGTCTTCGTCTTCCTCACCTTCTTCATCTTCTAAACATATTGGAAGAACATTGTATTTCAAATCTGGACAAGATCCATCCAAAACACCATGCGTTTAAATCAAGGAACTGAATTGGCCTTGGTTATATTTACTAGTATACAGTGTGTTATGACAACAATCTTTATATCTTGTCTTTCACTAGTTGACTTTTTGTGGCATGTGGGAACTGGAGGAAAAGGGAATGAACCAGGTGAATATGGAAGTAGGAAGTAGTTTTGCTCACCGTCTTCATTTTCTTCATCTTCGTCTTCCTCACGTTTTCTGCGTTCTTCATCTTCATCTAGAACAATCATACACAATTGTATTGCATCTCTCAAGAAACTATATTCAAAACATCATACGTTTCCATGAAAAGAGTGAACGGGACTTCATGGCACTGCATGCGTTCAGTCTTGTTTCATGTCAATATGGGTAGTATGCTTCCTTTCACTTCTTGAATTACTCTTGAATGTGGCAAATGATACTGATGGAGAATGTGTATTGCCACTCTACAGAAGTTGCATCCATAAACCTGTCTTTTAAAGCAAGGGCCAGAACTTGCCATCCAGATATGTGCAAGCCTACAGTGTCAAATTGCCATCCAGATATGTGCAAGCCTACAGTGTCAAAGGACAAAATACATCATAGTCTTTTTTCCACCAGTTGAATGTCTGTGGTGTGAGAGTACTGATTATTCAAAAGAAACACAATAACAATTACTCTTGTCTGTGAGAATGTGGTAGCATTTCTAACCTTCTTCATCATCTTCGTCCTCCTCATCTTCTTCGTCTTCCTCATCGTCTTCGTCTTCCTCACCTTCTTCATCTTCTAAACATATTGGAAGAACATTGTATTTCAAATCTGGACAAGATCCATCCAAAACACCATGCGTTTAAATCAAGGAACTGAATTGGCCTTGGTTATATTTACTAGTATACAGTGTGTTATGACAACAATCTTTATATCTTGTCTTTCACTAGTTGACTTTTTGTGGCATGTGGGAACTGGAGGAAAAGGAATGAACCAGGTGAATATGGAAGTAGGAAGTAGTTTTGCTCACCGTCTTCATTTTCTTCATCTTCGTCTTCCTCACGTTTTCTGCGTTCTTCATCTTCATCTAGAACAATCATACACAATTGTATTGCATCTCTCAAGAAACTATATTCAAAACATCATACGTTTCCATGAAAAGAGTGAACGGGACTTCATGGCACTGCATGCGTTCAGTCTTGTTTCATGTCAATATGGGTAGTATGCTTCCTTTCACTTCTTGAATTACTCTTGAATGTGGCAAATGATACTGATGGAGAATGTGTATTGCCACTCTACAGAAGTTGCATCCATAAACCTGTCTTTTAAAAGCAAGGGCCAGAACTTGCCATCCAGATATGTGCAAGCCTACAGTGTCAAATTGCCATCCAGATATGTGCAAGCCTACAGTGTCAAAGGACAAAATACATCATAGTCTTTCTTCCACCAGTTGAATGTCTGTGGTGTGAGAGTACTGATTATTCAAAAGAAACACAATAACAATTACTCTTGTCTGTGAGAATGTGGTAGCATTTCTAACCTTCTTCATCATCTTCGTCCTCCTCATCTTCTTCGTCTTCCTCATCGTCTTCGTCTTCCTCACCTTCTTCATCTTCTAAACATATTGGAAGAACATTGTATTTCAAATCTGGACAAGATCCATCCAAAACACCATGCGTTTAAATCAAGGAACTGAATTGGCCTTGGTTATATTTACTAGTATACAGTGTGTTATGACAACAATCTTTATATCTTGTCTTTCACTAGTTGACTTTTTGTGGCATGTGGGAACTGGAGGAAAAGGGAATGAACCAGGTGAATATGGAAGTAGGAAGTAGTTTTGCTAACCGTCTTCATTTTCTTCATCTTCGTCTTCCTCACGTTTTCTGCGTTCTTCATCTTCATCTAGAACAATCATACACAATTGTATTGCATCTCTCAAGAAACTATATTCAAAACATCATACGTTTCCATGAAAAGAGTGAACGGGACTTCATGGCACTGCATGCGTTCAGTCTTGTTTCATGTCAATATGGGTAGTATGCTTCCTTTCACTTCTTGAATTACTCTTGAATGTGGCAAATGATACTGATGGAGAATGTGTATTGCCACTCTACAGAAGTTGCATCCATAAACCTGTCTTTTAAAGCAAGGGCCAGAACTTGCCATCCAGATATGTGCCAAGCCTACAGTGTCAAATTGCCATCCAGATATGTGCAAGCCTACAGTGTCAAAGGACAAAATACATCATAGTCTTTCTTCCACCAGTTGAATGTCTGTGGTGTGAGAGTACTGATTATTCAAAAGAAACACAATAACAATTACTCTTGTCTGTGAGAATGTGGTAGCATTTCTAACCTTCTTCATCATCTTCGTCCTCCTCATCTTCTTCGTCTTCCTCATCGTCTTCGTCTTCCTCACCTTCTTCATCTTCTAAACATATTGGAAGAACATTGTATTTCAAATCTGGACAAGATCCATCCAAAACACCATGCGTTTAAATCAAGGAACTGAATTGGCCTTGGTTATATTTACTAGTATACAGTGTGTTATGACAACAATCTTTATATCTTGTCTTTCACTAGTTGACCTTTTGTGGCATGTGGGAACTGGAGGAAAAGGGAATGAACCAGGTGAATATGGAAGTAGGAAGTAGTTTTGCTCACCGTCTTCATTTTCTTCATCTTCGTCTTCCTCACGTTTTCTGCGTTCTTCATCTTCATCTAGAACAATCATACACAATTGTATTGCATCTCTCAAGAAACTATATTCAAAACATCATACGTTTCCATGAAAAGAGTGAACGGGACTTCATGGCACTGCATGCGTTCAGTCTTGTTTCATGTCAATATGGGTAGTATGCTTCCTTTCACTTCTTGAATTACTCTTGAATGTGGCAAATGATACTGATGGAGAATGTGTATTGCCACTCTACAGAAGTTGCATCCATAAACCTGTCTTTTAAAGCAAAGGGCCAGAACTTGCCATCCAGATATGTGCAAGCCTACAGTGTCAAAGGACAAAATACATCATAGTCTTTTTTCCACCAGTTGAATGTCTGTGGTGTGAGAGTACTGATTATTCAAAAGAAACACAATAACAATTACTCTTGTCTGTGAGAATGTGGTAGCATTTCTAACCTTCTTCATCATCTTCGTCCTCCTCATCTTCTTCGTCTTCCTCATCGTCTTCGTCTTCCTCACCTTCTTCATCTTCTAAACATATTGGAAGAACATTGTATTTCAAATCTGGACAAGATCCATCCAAAACACCATGCGTTTAAATCAAAGGAACTGAATTGGCCTTGGTTATATTTACTAGTATACAGTGTGTTATGACAACAATCTTTATATCTTGTCTTTCACTAGTTGACTTTTTGTGGCATGTGGGAACTGGAGGAAAAGGGAATGAACCAGGTGAATATGGAAGTAGGAAGTAGTTTTGCTAACCGTCTTCATTTTCTTCATCTTCGTCTTCCTCACGTTTTCTGCGTTCTTCATCTTCATCTAGAACAATCATACACAATTGTATTGCATCTCTCAAGAAACTATATTCAAAACATCATACGTTTCCATGAAAAGAGTGAACGGGACTTCATGGCACTGCATGCGTTCAGTCTTGTTTCATGTCAATATGGGTAGTATGCTTCCTTTCACTTCTTGAATTACTCTTGAATGTGGCAAATGATACTGATGGAGAATGTGTATTGCCACTCTACAGAAGTTGCATCCATAAACCTGTCTTTTAAAGCAAGGGCCAGAACTTGCCATCCAGATATGTGCAAGCCTACAGTGTCAAATTGCCATCCAGATATGTGCAAGCCTACAGTGTCAAAGGACAAAATACATCATAGTCTTTCTTCCACCAGTTGAATGTCTGTGGTGTGCGAGTACTGATTATTCAAAAGAAACACAATAACAATTACTCTTGTCTGTGAGAATGTGGTAGCATTTCTAACCTTCTTCATCATCTTCGTCCTCCTCATCTTCTTCGTCTTCCTCATCGTCTTCGTCTTCCTCACCTTCTTCATCTTCTAAACATATTGGAAGAACATTGTATTTCAAATCTGGACAAGATCCATCCAAAACACCATGCGTTTAAATCAAGGAACTGAATTGGCCTTGGTTATATTTACTAGTATACAGTGTGTTATGACAACAATCTTTATATCTTGTCTTTCACTAGTTGACTTTTTGGCATGTGGGAACTGGAGGAAAAGGGAATGAACCAGGTGAATATGGAAGTAGGAAGTAGTTTTGCTAACCGTCTTCATTTTCTTCATCTTCGTCTTCCTCACGTTTTCTGCGTTCTTCATCTTCATCTAGAACAATCATACACAATTGTATTGCATCTCTCAAGAAACTATATTCAAAACATCATACGTTTCCATGAAAAGAGTGAACGGGACTTCATGGCACTGCATGCGTTCAGTCTTGTTTCATGTCAATATGGGTAGTATGCTTCCTTTCACTTCTTGAATTACTCTTGAATGTGGCAAATGATACTGATGGAGAATGTGTATTGCCACTCTACAGAAGTTGCATCCATAAACCTGTCTTTTAAAAGCAAGGGCCAGAACTTGCCATCCAGAACTACAGTGTCAAATTGCCATCCAGATATGTGCAAAGCCTACAGTGTCAAAGGACAAAATACATCATAGTCTTTCTTCCACCAGTTGAATGTCTGTGGTGTGCGAGTACTGATTATTCAAAAGAAACACAATAACAATTACTCTTGTCTGTGAGAATGTGGTAGCATTTCTAACCTTCTTCATCATCTTCGTCCTCCTCATCTTCTTCGTCTTCCTCATCGTCTTCGTCTTCCTCACCTTCTTCATCTTCTAAACATATTGGAAGAACATTGTATTTCAAATCTGGACAAGATCCATCCAAAACACCATGCGTTTAAATCAAGGAACTGAATTGGCCTTGGTTATATTTACTAGTATACAGTGTGTTATGACAACAATCTTTATATCTTGTCTTTCACTAGTTGACTTTTTGTGGCATGTGGGAACTGGAGGAAAAGGGAATGAACCAGGTGAATATGGAAGTAGGAAGTAGTTTTGCTAACCGTCTTCATTTTCTTCATCTTCGTCTTCCTCACGTTTTCTGCGTTCTTCATCTTCATCTAAAACAATCATACACAATTGTATTGCATCTCTCAAGAAACTATATTCAAAACATCATACGTTTCCATGAAAAGAGTGAACGGGACTTCATGGCACTGCATGCGTTCAGTCTTGTTTCATGTCAATATGGGTAGTATGCTTCCTTTCACTTCTTGAATTACTCTTGAATGTGGCAAATGATACTGATGGAGAATGTGTATTGCCACTCTACAGAAGTTGCATCCATAAACCTGTCTTTTAAAGCAAGGGCCAGAACTTGCCATCCAGATATGTGCAAGCCTACAGTGTCAAAGGACAAAATACATCATAGTCTTTCTTCCACCAGTTGAATGTCTGTGGTGTGCGAGTACTGATTATTCAAAAGAAACACAATAACAATTACTCTTGTCTGTGAGAATGTGGTAGCATTTCTAACCTTCTTCATCATCTTCGTCCTCCTCATCTTCTTCGTCTTCCTCATCGTCTTCGTCTTCCTCACCTTCTTCATCTTCTAAACATATTGGAAGAACATTGTATTTCAAATCTGGACAAGATCCATCCAAAACACCATGCGTTTAAATCAAGGAACTGAATTGGCCTTGGTTATATTTACTAGTATACAGTGTGTTATGACAACAATCTTTATATCTTGTCTTTCACTAGTTGACTTTTTGTGGCATGTGGGAACTGGAGGAAAAGGGAATGAACCAGGTGAATATGGAAGTAGGAAGTAGTTTTGCTCACCGTCTTCATTTTCTTCATCTTCGTCTTCCTCACGTTTTCTGCGTTCTTCATCTTCATCTAAAACAATCATACACAATTGTATTGCATCTCTCAAGAAACTATATTCAAAACATCATACGTTTCCATGAAAAGAGTGAACGGGACTTCATGGCACTGCATGCGTTCAGTCTTGTTTCATGTCAATATGGGTAGTATGCTTCCTTTCACTTCTTGAATTACTCTTGAATGTGGCAAATGATACTGATGGAGAATGTGTATTGCCACTCTACAGAAGCTGCATCCATAAACCTGTCTTTTAAAGCAAGGGCCAGAACTTGCCATCCAGATATGTGCAAGCCTACAGTGTCAAAGGACAAAATACATCATAGTCTTTCTTCCACCAGTTGAATGTCTGTGGTGTGCGAGTACTGATTATTCAAAAGAAACACAATAACAATTACTCTTGTCTGTGAGAATGTGGTAGCATTTCTAACCTTCTTCATCATCTTCGTCCTCCTCATCTTCTTCGTCTTCCTCATCGTCTTCGTCTTCCTCACCTTCTTCATCTTCTAAACATATTGGAAGAACATTGTATTTCAAATCTGGACAAGATCCATCCAAAACACCATGCGTTTAAATCAAGGAACTGAATTGGCCTTGGTTATATTTACTAGTATACAGTGTGTTATGACAACAATCTTTATATCTTGTCTTTCACTAGTTGACTTTTTGTGGCATGTGGGAACTGGAGGAAAAGGGAATGAACCAGGTGAATATGGAAGTAGGAAGTAGTTTTGCTCACCGTCTTCATTTTCTTCATCTTCGTCTTCCTCACGTTTTCTGCGTTCTTCATCTTCATCTAGAACAATCATACACAATTGTATTGCATCTCTCAAGAAACTATATTCAAAACATCATACGTTTCCATGAAAAGAGTGAACGGGACTTCATGGCACTGCATGCGTTCAGTCTTGTTTCATGTCAATATGGGTAGTATGCTTCCTTTCACTTCTTGAATTACTCTTGAATGTGGCAAATGATACTGATGGAGAATGTGTATTGCCACTCTACAGAAGTTGCATCCATAAACCTGTCTTTTAAAGCAAGGGCCAGAACTTGCCATCCAGATATGTGCAAGCCTACAGAAATTGCCATCCAGATATGTGCAAGCCTACAGTGTCAAAGGACAAAATACATCATAGTCTTTTTTCCACCAGTTGAATGTCTGTGGTGTGAGAGTACTGATTATTCAAAAGAAACACAATAACAATTACTCTTGTCTGTGAGAATGTGGTAGCATTTCTAACCTTCTTCATCATCTTCGTCCTCCTCATCTTCTTCGTCTTCCTCATCGTCTTCGTCTTCCTCACCTTCTTCATCTTCTAAACATATTGGAAGAACATTGTATTTCAAATCTGGACAAGATCCATCCAAAACACCATGCGTTTAAATGAAGGAACTGAATTGGCCTTGGTTATATTTACTAGTATACAGTGTGTTATGACAACAATCTTTATATCTTGTCTTTCACTAGTTGACTTTTTGTGGCATGTGGGAACTGGAGGAAAGGGAATGAACCAGGTGAATATGGAAGTAGGAAGTAGTTTTGCTCACCGTCTTCATTTTCTTCATCTTCGTCTTCCTCACGTTTTCTGCGTTCTTCATCTTCATCTAGAACAATCATACACAATTGTATTGCATCTCTCAAGAAACTATATTCAAAACATCATACGTTTCCATGAAAAGAGTGAACGGGACTTCATGGCACTGCATGCGTTCAGTCTTGTTTCATGTCAATATGGGTAGTATGCTTCCTTTCACTTCTTGAATTACTCTTGAATGTGGCAAATGATACTGATGGAGAATGTGTATTGCCACTCTACAGAAGTTGCATCCATAAACCTGTCTTTTAAAGCAAGGGCCAGAACTTGCCATCCAGATATGTGCAAGCCTACAGTGTCAAAGGACAAAATACATCATAGTCTTTCTTTTTTTCCACCAGTTGAATGTCTGTGGTGTGAGAGTACTGATTATTCAAAAGAAACACAATAACAATTACTCTTGTCTGTGAGAATGTGGTAGCATTTCTAACCTTCTTCATCATCTTCGTCCTCCTCATCTTCTTCGTCTTCCTCATCGTCTTCGTCTTCCTCACCTTCTTCATCTTCTAAACATATTGGAAGAACATTGTATTTCAAATCTGGACAAGATCCATCCAAAACACCATGCGTTTAAATCAAGGAACTGAATTGGCCTTGGTTATATTTACTAGTATACAGTGTGTTATGACAACAATCTTTATATCTTGTCTTTCACTAGTTGACTTTTTGTGGCATGTGGGAACTGGAGGAAAAGGGAATGAACCAGGTGAATATGGAAGTAGGAAGTAGTTTTGCTCACCGTCTTCATTTTCTTCATCTTCGTCTTCCTCACGTTTTCTGCGTTCTTCATCTTCATCTAGAACAATCATACACAATTGTATTGCATCTCTCAAGAAACTATATTCAAAACATCATACGTTTCCATGAAAAGAGTGAACGGGACTTCATGGCACTGCATGCGTTCAGTCTTGTTTCATGTCAATATGGGTAGTATGCTTCCTTTCACTTCTTGAATTACTCTTGAATGTGGCAAATGATACTGATGGAGAATGTGTATTGCCACTCTACAGAAGCTGCATCCATAAACCTGTCTTTTAAAAAGCAAGGGCCAGAACTTGCCATCCAGATATGTGCAAGCCTACAGTGTCAAAGGACAAAATACATCATAGTCTTTCTTCCACCAGTTGAATGTCTGTGGTGTGCGAGTACTGATTATTCAAAAGAAACACAATAACAATTACTCTTGTCTGTGAGAATGTGGTAGCATTTCTAACCTTCTTCATCATCTTCGTCCTCCTCATCTTCTTCGTCTTCCTCATCGTCTTCGTCTTCCTCTTACTTCTTCATCTTCTAAACATATTGGAAGAACATTGTATTTCAAATCTGGACAAGATCCATCCAAAACACCATGCGTTTAAATCAAGGAACTGAATTGGCCTTGGTTATATTTACTAGTATACAGTGTGTTATGACAACAATCTTTATATCTTGTCTTTCACTAGTTGACTTTTTGTGGCATGTGGGAACTGGAGGAAAAGGGAATGAACCAGGTGAATATGGAAGTAGGAAGTAGTTTTGCTCACCGTCTTCATTTTCTTCATCTTCGTCTTCCTCACGTTTTCTGCGTTCTTCATCTTCATCTAGAACAATCATACACAATTGTATTGCATCTCTCAAGAAACTATATTCAAAACATCATACGTTTCCATGAAAAGAGTGAACGGGACTTCATGGCACTGCATGCGTTCAGTCTTGTTTCATGTCAATATGGGTAGTATGCTTCCTTTCACTTCTTGAATTACTCTTGAATGTGGCAAATGATACTGATGGAGAATGTGTATTGCCACTCTACAGAAGTTGCATCCATAAACCTGTCTTTTAAAGCAAGGGCCAGAACTTGCCATCCAGATATGTGCAAGCCTACAGTGTCAAAGGACAAAATACATCATAGTCTTTCTTCCACCAGTTGAATGTCTGTGGTGTGCGAGTACTGATTATTCAAAAGAAACACAATAACAATTACTCTTGTCTGTGAGAATGTGGTAGCATTTCTAACCTTCTTCATCATCTTCGTCCTCCTCATCTTCTTCGTCTTCCTCATCGTCTTCGTCTTCCTCACCTTCTTCATCTTCTAAACATATTGGAAGAACATTGTATTTCAAATCTGGACAAGATCCATCCAAAACACCATGCGTTTAAATCAAGGAACTGAATTGGCCTTGGTTATATTTACTAGTATACAGTGTGTTATGACAACAATCTTTATATCTTGTCTTTCACTAGTTGACTTTTTGTGGCATGTGGGAACTGGAGGAAAAGGGAATGAACCAGGTGAATATGGAAGTAGGAAGTAGTTTTGCTCACCGTCTTCATTTTCTTCATCTTCGTCTTCCTCACGTTTTCTGCGTTCTTCATCTTCATCTAGAACAATCATACACAATTGTATTGCATCTCTCAAGAAACTATATTCAAAACATCATACGTTTCCATGAATAGAGTGAACGGGACTTCATGGCACTGCATGCGTTCAGTCTTGTTTCATGTCAATATGGGTAGTATGCTTCCTTTCACTTCTTGAATTACTCTTGAATGTGGCAAATGATACTGATGGAGAATGTGTATTGCCACTCTACAGAAGCTGCATCCATAAACCTGTCTTTTAAAGCAAGGGCCAGAACTTGCCATCCAGATATGTGCAAGCCTACAGTGTCAAAGGACAAAATACATCATAGTCTTTCTTCCACCAGTTGAATGTCTGTGGTGTGCGAGTACTGATTATTCAAAAGAAACACAATAACAATTACTCTTGTCTGTGAGAATGTGGTAGCATTTCTAACCTTCTTCATCATCTTCGTCCTCCTCATCTTCTTCGTCTTCCTCATCGTCTTCGTCTTCCTCACCTTCTTCATCTTCTAAACATATTGGAAGAACATTGTATTTCAAATCTGGACAAGATCCATCCAAAACACCATGCGTTTAAATCAAGGAACTGAATTGGCCTTGGTTATATTTACTAGTATACAGTGTGTTATGACAACAATCTTTATATCTTGTCTTTCACTAGTTGACTTTTGTGGCATGTGGGAACTGGAGGAAAAGGGAATGAACCAGGTGAATATGGAAGTAGGAAGTAGTTTTGCTAACCGTCTTCATTTTCTTCATCTTCGTCTTCCTCACGTTTTCTGCGTTCTTCATCTTCATCTAGAACAATCATACACAATTGTATTGCATCTCTCAAGAAACTATATTCAAAACATCATACGTTTCCATGAAAAGAGTGAACGGGACTTCATGGCACTGCATGCGTTCAGTCTTGTTTCATGTCAATATGGGTAGTATGCTTCCTTTCACTTCTTGAATTACTCTTGAATGTGGCAAATGATACTGATGGAGAATGTGTATTGCCACTCTACAGAAGTTGCATCCATAAACCTGTCTTTTAAACCAAGGGCCAGAACTTGCCATCCAGATATGTGCAAGCCTACAGTGTCAAAGGACAAAATACATCATAATCTTTCTTCCACCAGTTGATTGTCTGTGGTGTGCGAGTACTGATTATTCAAAGAAACACAATAACAATTACTCTTGTCTGTGAGAATGTGGTAGCATTTCTAACCTTCTTCATCATCTTCGTCCTCCTCATCTTCTTCGTCTTCCTCATCGTCTTCGTCTTCCTCACCTTCTTCATCTTCTAAACATATTGGAAGAACATTGTATTTCAAATCTGGACAAGATCCATCCAAAACACCATGCGTTTAAATGAAGGAACTGAATTGGCCTTGGTTATATTTACTAGTATACAGTGTGTTATGACAACAATCTTTATATCTTGGCTTTCACTAGTTGACTTTTTGTGACATGTGGGAACTGGAGGAAAAGGAATGAACCAGGTGAATATGGAAGTAGGAAGTAGTTTTGCTCACCGTCTTCATTTTCTTCATCTTCGTCTTCCTCACGTTTTCTGCGTTCTTCATCTTCATCTAGAACAATCATACACAATTGTATTGCATCTCTCAAGAAACTATATTCAAAACATCATACGTTTCCATGAAAAGAGTGAACGGGACTTCATGGCACTGCATGCGTTCAGTCTTGTTTCATGTCAATATGGGTAGTATGCTTCCTTTCACTTCTTGAATTACTCTTGAATGTGGCAAATGATACTGATGGAGAATGTGTATTGCCACTCTACAGAAGTTGCATCCATAAACCTGTCTTTTAAAGCAAGGGCCAGAACTTGCCATCCAGATATGTGCAAGCCTACAGTGTCAAAGGACAAAATACATCATAATCTTTCTTCCACCAGTTGATTGTCTGTGGTGTGCGAGTACTGATTATTCAAAAGAAACACAATAACAATTACTCTTGTCTGTGAGAATGTGGTAGCATTTCTAACCTTCTTCATCATCTTCGTCCTCCTCATCTTCTTCGTCTTCCTCATCGTCTTCGTCTTCCTCACCTTCTTCATCTTCTAAACATATTGGAAGAACATTGTATTTCAAATCTGGACAAGATCCATCCAAAACACCATGCGTTTAAATCAAGGAACTGAATTGGCCTTGGTTATATTTACTAGTATACAGTGTGTTATGACAACAATCTTTATATCTTGTCTTTCACTAGTTGACTTTTTGTGACATGTGGGAACTGGAGGAAAAGGGAATGAACCAGGTGAATATGGAAGTAGGAAGTAGTTTTGCTCACCGTCTTCATTTTCTTCATCTTCGTCTTCCTCACGTTTTCTGCGTTCTTCATCTTCATCTAGAACAATCATACACAATTGTATTGCATCTCTCAAGAAACTATATTCAAAACATCATACGTTTCCATGAAAAGAGTGAACGGGACTTCATGGCACTGCATGCGTTCAGTCTTGTTTCATGTCAATATGGGTAGTATGCTTCCTTTCACTTCTTGAATTACTCTTGAATGTGGCAAATGATACTGATGGAGAATGTGTATTGCCACTCTACAGAAGTTGCATCCATAAACCTGTCTTTTAAACCAAGGGCAAGAACTTGCCATCCAGATATGTGCAAGCCTACAGTGTCAAAGGACAAAATACATCATAATCTTTCTTCCACCAGTTGATTGTCTGTGGTGTGCGAGTACTGATTATTCAAAGAAACACAATAACAATTACTCTTGTCTGTGAGAATGTGGTAGCATTTCTAACCTTCTTCATCATCTTCGTCCTCCTCATCTTCTTCGTCTTCCTCATCGTCTTCGTCTTCCTCACCTTCTTCATCTTCTAAACATATTGGAAGAACATTGTATTTCAAATCTGGACAAGATCCATCCAAAACACCATGCGTTTAAATCAAGGAACTGAATTGGCCTTGGTTATATTTACTAGTATACAGTGTGTTATGACAACAATCTTTATATCTTGTCTTTCACTAGTTGACTTTTTGTGACATGTGGGAACTGGAGGAAAAGGGAATGAACCAGGTGAATATGGAAGTAGGAAGTAGTTTTGCTCACCGTCTTCATTTTCTTCATCTTCGTCTTCCTCACGTTTTCTGCGTTCTTCATCTTCATCTAGAACAATCATACACAATTGTATTGCATCTCTCAAGAAACTATATTCAAAACATCATACGTTTCCATGAAAAGAGTGAACGGGACTTCATGGCACTGCATGCGTTCAGTCTTGTTTCATGTCAATATGGGTAGTATGCTTCCTTTCACTTCTTGAATTACTCTTGAATGTGGCAAATGATACTGATGGAGAATGTGTATTGCCACTCTACAGAAGTTGCATCCATAAACCTGTCTTTTAAAACAAGGGCCAGAACTTGCCATCCAGATATGTGCAAGCCTACAGTGTCAAAGGACAAAATACATCATAATCTTTCTTCCACCAGTTGATTGTCTGTGGTGTGCGAGTACTGATTATTCAAAGAAACACAATAACAATTACTCTTGTCTGTGAGAATGTGGTAGCATTTCTAACCTTCTTCATCATCTTCGTCCTCCTCATCTTCTTCGTCTTCCTCATCGTCTTCGTCTTCCTCACCTTCTTCATCTTCTAAACATATTGGAAGAACATTGTATTTCAAATCTGGACAAGATCCATCCAAAACACCATGCGTTTAAATCAAGGAACTGAATTGGCCTTGGTTATATTTACTAGTATACAGTGTGTTATGACAACAATCTTTATATCTTGTCTTTCACTAGTTGACTTTTTGTGGCATGTGGGAACTGGAGGAAAAGGGAATGAACCAGGTGAATATGGAAGTAGGAAGTAGTTTTGCTCACCGTCTTCATTTTCTTCATCTTCGTCTTCCTCACGTTTTCTGCGTTCTTCATCTTCATCTAGAACAATCATACACAATTGTATTGCATCTCTCAAGAAACTATATTCAAAACATCATACGTTTCCATGAAAAGAGTGAACGGGACTTCATGGCACTGCATGCGTTCAGTCTTGTTTCATGTCAATATGGGTAGTATGCTTCCTTTCACTTCTTGAATTACTCTTGAATGTGGCAAATGATACTGATGGAGAATGTGTATTGCCACTCTACAGAAGTTGCATCCATAAACCTGTCTTTTTAAACCAAGGGCCAAGAACTTGCCATCCAGATATGTGCAAGCCTACAGTGTCAAAGGACAAAATACATCATAATCTTTCTTCCACCAGTTGATTGTCTGTGGTGTGCGAGTACTGATTATTCAAAAGAAACACAATAACAATTACTCTTGTCTGTGAGAATGTGGTAGCATTTCTAACCTTCTTCATCATCTTCGTCCTCCTCATCTTCTTCGTCTTCCTCATCGTCTTCGTCTTCCTCACCTTCTTCATCTTCTAAACATATTGGAAGAACATTGTATTTCAAATCTGGACAAGATCCATCCAAAACACCATGCGTTTAAATGAAGGAACTGAATTGGCCTTGGTTATATTTACTAGTATACAGTGTGTTATGACAACAATCTTTATATCTTGTCTTTCACTAGTTGACTTTTTGTGGCATGTGGGAACTGGAGGAAAAGGGAATGAACCAGGTGAATATGGAAGTAGGAAGTAGTTTTGCTCACCGTCTTCATTTTCTTCATCTTCGTCTTCCTCACGTTTTCTGCGTTCTTCATCTTCATCTAGAACAATCATACACAATTGTATTGCATCTCTCAAGAAACTATATTCAAAACATCATACGTTTCCATGAAAAGAGTGAACGGGACTTCATGGCACTGCATGCGTTCAGTCTTGTTTCATGTCAATATGGGTAGTATGCTTCCTTTCACTTCTTGAATTACTCTTGAATGTGGCAAATGATACTGATGGAGAATGTGTATTGCCACTCTACAGAAGTTGCATCCATAAACCTGTCTTTTAAACCAAGGGCCAGAACTTGCCATCCAGATATGTGCAAGCCTACAGTGTCAAAGGACAAAATACATCATAATCTTTCTTCCACCAGTTGATTGTCTGTGGTGTGCGAGTACTGATTATTCAAAAGAAACACAATAACAATTACTCTTGTCTGTGAGAATGTGGTAGCATTTCTAACCTTCTTCATCATCTTCGTCCTCCTCATCTTCTTCGTCTTCCTCATCGTCTTCGTCTTCCTCACCTTCTTCATCTTCTAAACATATTGGAAGAACATTGTATTTCAAATCTGGACAAGATCCATCCAAAACACCATGCGTTTAAATGAAGGAACTGAATTGGCCTTGGTTATATTTACTAGTATACAGTGTGTTATGACAACAATCTTTATATCTTGTCTTTCACTAGTTGACTTTTTGTGGCATGTGGGAACTGGAGGAAAAGGGGAATGAACCAGGTGAATATGGAAGTAGGAAGTAGTTTTGCTCACCGTCTTCATTTTCTTCATCTTCGTCTTCCTCACGTTTTCTGCGTTCTTCATCTTCATCTAGAACAATCATACACAATTGTATTGCATCTCTCAAGAAACTATATTCAAAACATCATACGTTTCCATGAAAAGAGTGAACGGGACTTCATGGCACTGCATGCGTTCAGTCTTGTTTCATGTCAATATGGGTAGTATGCTTCCTTTCACTTCTTGAATTACTCTTGAATGTGGCAAATGATACTGATGGAGAATGTGTATTGCCACTCTACAGAAGTTGCATCCATAAACCTGTCTTTTTAAAGCAAGGGCCAGAACTTGCCATCCAGATATGTGCAAGCCTACAGTGTCAAAGGACAAAATACATCATAATCTTTCTTCCACCAGTTGATTGTCTGTGGTGTGCGAGTACTGATTATTCAAAAGAAACACAATAACAATTACTCTTGTCTGTGAGAATGTGGTAGCATTTCTAACCTTCTTCATCATCTTCGTCCTCCTCATCTTCTTCGTCTTCCTCATCGTCTTCGTCTTCCTCACCTTCTTCATCTTCTAAACATATTGGAAGAACATTGTATTTCAAATCTGGACAAGATCCATCCAAAACACCATGCGTTTAAATCAAGGAACTGAATTGGCCTTGGTTATATTTACTAGTATACAGTGTGTTATGACAACAATCTTTATATCTTGTCTTTCACTAGTTGACTTTTTGTGGCATGTGGGAACTGGAGGAAAAGGGAATGAACCAGGTGAATATGGAAGTAGGAAGTAGTTTTGCTCACCGTCTTCATTTTCTTCATCTTCGTCTTCCTCACGTTTTCTGCGTTCTTCATCTTCATCTAGAACAATCATACACAATTGTATTGCATCTCTCAAGAAACTATATTCAAAACATCATACGTTTCCATGAAAAGAGTGAACGGGACTTCATGGCACTGCATGCGTTCAGTCTTGTTTCATGTCAATATGGGTAGTATGCTTCCTTTCACTTCTTGAATTACTCTTGAATGTGGCAAATGATACTGATGGAGAATGTGTATTGCCACTCTACAGAAGTTGCATCCATAAACCTGTCTTTTAAAGCAAGGGCCAGAACTTGCCATCCAGATATGTGCAAGCCTACAGTGTCAAAGGACAAAATACATCATAATCTTTCTTCCACCAGTTGATTGTCTGTGGTGTGCGAGTACTGATTATTCAAAAGAAACACAATAACAATTACTCTTGTCTGTGAGAATGTGGTAGCATTTCTAACCTTCTTCATCATCTTCGTCCTCCTCATCTTCTTCGTCTTCCTCATCGTCTTCGTCTTCCTCACCTTCTTCATCTTCTAAACATATTGGAAGAACATTGTATTTCAAATCTGGACAAGATCCATCCAAAACACCATGCGTTTAAATGAAGGAACTGAATTGGCCTTGGTTATATTTACTAGTATACAGTGTGTTATGACAACAATCTTTATATCTTGTCTTTCACTAGTTGACTTTTTGTGGCATGTGGGAACTGGAGGAAAAGGGAATGAACCAGGTGAATATGGAAGTAGGAAGTAGTTTTGCTCACCGTCTTCATTTTCTTCATCTTCGTCTTCCTCACGTTTTCTGCGTTCTTCATCTTCATCTAGAACAATCATACACAATTGTATTGCATCTCTCAAGAAACTATATTCAAAACATCATACGTTTCCATGAAAAGAGTGAACGGGACTTCATGGCACTGCATGCGTTCAGTCTTGTTTCATGTCAATATGGGTAGTATGCTTCCTTTCACTTCTTGAATTACTCTTGAATGTGGCAAATGATACTGATGGAGAATGTGTATTGCCACTCTACAGAAGTTGCATCCATAAACCTGTCTTTAAACCAAGGGCCAGAACTTGCCATCCAGATATGTGCAAGCCTACAGTGTCAAAGGACAAAATACATCATAATCTTTCTTCCACCAGTTGATTGTCTGTGGTGTGCGAGTACTGATTATTCAAAAGAAACACAATAACAATTACTCTTGTCTGTGAGAATGTGGTAGCATTTCTAACCTTCTTCATCATCTTCGTCCTCCTCATCTTCTTCGTCTTCCTCATCGTCTTCGTCTTCCTCACCTTCTTCATCTTCTAAACATATTGGAAGAACATTGTATTTCAAATCTGGACAAGATCCATCCAAAACACCATGCGTTTAAATGAAGGAACTGAATTGGCCTTGGTTATATTTACTAGTATACAGTGTGTTATGACAACAATCTTTATATCTTGGCTTTCACTAGTTGACTTTTTGTGACATGTGGGAACTGTAGGAAAAGGGAATGAACCAGGTGAATATGGAAGTAGGAAGTAGTTTTGCTCACCGTCTTCATTTTCTTCATCTTCGTCTTCCTCACGTTTTCTGCGTTCTTCATCTTCATCTAGAACAATCATACACAATTGTATTGCATCTCTCAAGAAACTATATTCAAAACATCATACGTTTCCATGAAAAGAGTGAACGGGACTTCATGGCACTGCATGCGTTCAGTCTTGTTTCATGTCAATATGGGTAGTATGCTTCCTTTCACTTCTTGAATTACTCTTGAATGTGGCAAATGATACTGATGGAGAATGTGTATTGCCACTCTACAGAAGTTGCATCCATAAACCTGTCTTTTAAACCAAGGGCAAGAACTTGCCATCCAGATATGTGCAAGCCTACAGTGTCAAAGGACAAAATACATCATAATCTTTCTTCCACCAGTTGATTGTCTGTGGTGTGCGAGTACTGATTATTCAAAAAGAAACACAATAACAATTACTCTTGTCTGTGAGAATGTGGTAGCATTTCTAACCTTCTTCATCATCTTCGTCCTCCTCATCTTCTTCGTCTTCCTCATCGTCTTCGTCTTCCTCACCTTCTTCATCTTCTAAACATATTGGAAGAACATTGTATTTCAAATCTGGACAAGATCCATCCAAAACACCATGCGTTTAAATGAAGGAACTGAATTGGCCTTGGTTATATTTACTAGTATACAGTGTGTTATGACAACAATCTTTATATCTTGTCTTTCACTAGTTGACTTTTTGTGACATGTGGGAACTGTAGGAAAAGGGAATGAACCAGGTGAATATGGAAGTAGGAAGTAGTTTTGCTCACCGTCTTCATTTTCTTCATCTTCGTCTTCCTCACGTTTTCTGCGTTCTTCATCTTCATCTAGAAACAATCATACACAATTGTATTGCATCTCTCAAGAAACTATATTCAAAACATCATACGTTTCCATGAAAAGAGTGAACGGGACTTCATGGCACTGCATGCGTTCAGTCTTGTTTCATGTCAATATGGGTAGTATGCTTCCTTTCACTTCTTGAATTACTCTTGAATGTGGCAAATGATACTGATGGAGAATGTGTATTGCCACTCTACAGAAGTTGCATCCATAAACCTGTCTTTTAAACCAAGGGCCAGAACTTGCCATCCAGATATGTGCAAGCCTACAGTGTCAAAGGACAAAATACATCATAATCTTTCTTCCACCAGTTGATTGTCTGTGGTGTGCGAGTACTGATTATTCAAAAGAAACACAATAACAATTACTCTTGTCTGTGAGAATGTGGTAGCATTTCTAACCTTCTTCATCATCTTCGTCCTCCTCATCTTCTTCGTCTTCCTCATCGTCTTCGTCTTCCTCACCTTCTTCATCTTCTAAACATATTGGAAGAACATTGTATTTCAAATCTGGACAAGATCCATCCAAAACACCATGCGTTTAAATGAAGGAACTGAATTGGCCTTGGTTATATTTACTAGTATACAGTGTGTTATGACAACAATCTTTATATCTTGTCTTTCACTAGTTGACTTTTGTGGCATGTGGGAACTGGAGGAAAGGGAATGAACCAGGTGAATATGGAAGTAGGAAGTAGTTTTGCTCACCGTCTTCATTTTCTTCATCTTCGTCTTCCTCACGTTTTCTGCGTTCTTCATCTTCATCTAAAACAATCATACACAATTGTATTGCATCTCTCAAGAAACTATATTCAAAACATCATACGTTTCCATGAAAAGAGTGAACGGGACTTCATGGCACTGCATGCGTTCAGTCTTGTTTCATGTCAATATGGGTAGTATGCTTCCTTTCACTTCTTGAATTACTCTTGAATGTGGCAAATGATACTGATGGAGAATGTGTATTGCCACTCTACAGAAGTTGCATCCATAAACCTGTCTTTTAAACCAAGGGCAAGAACTTGCCATCCAGATATGTGCAAGCCTACAGTGTCAAAGGACAAAATACATCATAATCTTTCTTCCACCAGTTGATTGTCTGTGGTGTGCGAGTACTGATTATTCAAAAGAAACACAATAACAATTACTCTTGTCTGTGAGAATGTGGTAGCATTTCTAACCTTCTTCATCATCTTCGTCCTCCTCATCTTCTTCGTCTTCCTCATCGTCTTCGTCTTCCTCACCTTCTTCATCTTCTAAACATATTGGAAGAACATTGTATTTCAAATCTGGACAAGATCCATCCAAAACACCATGCGTTTAAATCAAGGAACTGAATTGGCCTTGGTTATATTTACTAGTATACAGTGTGTTATGACAACAATCTTTATATCTTGTCTTTCACTAGTTGACTTTTTGTGGCATGTGGGAACTGGAGGAAAAACAAATGAACCAGGTTAATATGGAAGTAGGAGGTAGTTTTGCTCACCGTCTTCATTTTCTTCATCTTCGTCTTCCTCACGTTTTCTGCGTTCTTCATCTTCATCTAGAACAATCATACACAATTACATTGCAATTCTGAAGACGTTGTATTCATAACATCATCCGTTTAAATGATGGAAATTGAATTAGGTTATATGGCATCAAAATAGATAATATAGTTTTCTTCACTTATTGAAAAGGGCGTGTTGAATAACATCTAAACAATTTGCATCCATAAGAATGTCTTGCCAGATCCTTCCTACCCTATTTTCGAACCCCCAAAATATGAACAGGTTTTTCAAATTCTGACGTCTCACAAGGAAGTAACTTTTGATCATGCGTTCTTCTGCCATGTATATTCACCATATTGATTTGCTCTTTCTTTGATCATGATTTCTGTTATGGTCATTACATATTACCCATTCTACCATGACTTCAGTAAATACTGGATTGTGATTGGTTAATCAAAGTCATTCAGAGGTATATCATCACGTTATATACTTCTGATTTTCCAACACAGTATGTTCCCTTCTAAATCTCATGGAAATGCAAACAAATGCTTACCAAGCATATTCATACCAAGGATGACCCTGGGATCTAAAAAACAAAACAGCAATATCTAAATTTTACTCGGGTGGAAATATAAAACACAAGGGAATTATGGAGTTTTTTCCATTGCATTTGGTCGTTTTAGTTAAAGGTACAAATAACAGTAACCCCGTGTGTCAGCATTTAGATCCAATATCTGAGCGTATTATTCTGTTGAATGGATCTGCTGCAATGGCAGATCTCAAGAACTTCAGTTTGAAGAGGCCCAATGCACTGGAAAGATTAGTTTAAGATATAAAATAACTGTAACCCATGTACTGAAGCATGGATGTAGCCATCAGCGTAATTGTGGGTGGAAATTATCCGTAGATATTATCAAGGAAAGTAGCTTACCGTCCTCAGATCGTGTTTGTTGCACATGGTCATAACGCAGGGCACTATTTGCAGCTGTATAGCTGCTAGTGGCAAACACTACCAGGAGAATCTGAATCAGCATCGTGTTCGTGTCTGTGTCTGATGGCATAGGTGGATGATGGCAACTTTATATATACCGTGGTGTACACTCCATGGATGACTCCCTTGCAGCAGATGGGTTGTAAAAGCAGCATTATAATTCACGACTGAGTTCGTTAGATTACAAAGATATAAACTAATAAAATTTGAGTTTCTTTTCTAATGCCATTTAAAGTCTTATTGTAGGTATTACTATCAATTCCTCACTTTATCCATAGACGTCATCATGCTATACATTCATAAGAAAACTTGTCTCAATATAATTAACTTCAAACTGACTCAAAACCAGTCGTTGTCAGAGTTTCCTAATCTATATTCAATAGAGGAGTGCACCGATGTGCACTCTCAAATATACATTGCTCTTTCAAGCAGAATATCAAGATTGAAATTATGTACCTGTAATATTAGCTGATATGTTCAAATATGATGACAGTACTATGTTTGCGTAATTTTTAATGCACTAGAATCACATACAACTGATTGGTCATTTGGTGCATACTTAAAGGTAGTTTTCCTTTTAAACATAATATCGTGGCATCCATATTCTAGTCAAAGAAACGAAACAAAAACTTATGAAACTAAAATTTCCAACTGCTCAAATAGTCTATGAGGTGGGATCACCTAATTACCATTACATCTACCCTGTGTCTTACTTGTTTGCTCATTACTTTTCCCCTAAGTTGTAAACTTTGTCCCGGGTTCGAATCCCCACATGGGTACAATGAGTGAAGCCCATTTCTGGTGTCCCCCGCCGTGATATTGCTGGAATATTTGTTAAAAGCGGCGTAAAGCCATACTCAGTCAGTCAGTCAGTGTAAACTTTGTGATTCTTTTCCCTATCGTAATACGGTTTGAATAATGACAAAGCAGTGCATATAGATACGACAGAACATTTTCCATATGTATACGAATCTTTTCCTACAATTTATTCCCTCGAAAGGTAAAAGCACTACAAATGTACATAAGTGCTCCAGTTATCATGTCGGAATAGAATTAATGGGTGAAATATCTATATCTATACTCAGGAAGCTTTCTTATACATGAGTGACATTTGACATCAAAGCGTATTACTTGTCTCCCAAAGGATAAGCACTTGGATATTGTACCATTTTGTATTTTCAATACCTTAGATAAATCTACATCAACACATGACACTCTCTGATATATTTCAGGAAGACGGAGATAGGAATCTACAATGGTTCTAGTAATTAAGTTTATGACATGTTCACTAGATAACATATATGCCTTCTACCCAATTAAATCAGCATTTTTTATACCGGTTTCACAGCTGATGCGTGAATACACAAGACCACCTCTTGCAGCAGTGCCAGACATGTCCAGACCATACACATGGTTTCCTGCATCTATTTGTTCCATCAGACATGAACGCTGAAGAGTACATATGCTGATTCAGCGTCTTCTCTCAGTTCCTGAACCCCAGGCTCAGCAGCCCAGGCACCGAAAAAGATCGAAACATGGCGAGTTGCAGTAAATAAAGCAAAATTGAGAAAAGCAACAACAATATACAAAGTCCAGGATGTTTAAACATTGGTCACCAAAATTATTTGAATGTCCAGGAGAAAGTGGTTAAGGCTATTTCTAGGTAACAGCCAGCTTTTTGTTCATTCCTCTTTAAAATGGGATTTCAAAGCTCGGAAAAGATCCACACAAAGAGATATATATTGCTGAATCTAGGCAATACACCATCTAATCACTGTCTCAAAGAGTGACCATAACCTTTAATGGGTGTGTCTATGCTCTGATATCGTTAACGGGCGTTGGGGTAGCCCAATGGTTAAAGCGTTGGCTCGTCGCGCCGAAGACCCACATGGGTACAATGCATGAAGCCCATTTCTGGTGTCCCCCGCCGTGATGTTGATGGAATATTGCTAAAAGCGGCGTAAAACCAAACTCAGTCAGTCAGTCAGTCAGTCAGTATATCGTTAAACAAACATCAAATTTGTATTAATTGATTTACTGAAATATATGAGACTTGTCGGAACACCTCATCTAGTTTCATATTTTAGTCTTTGACTTAAGATTCAGGGTGACTGAATGAATATTTCAGCAGTTATCTTTCAGCCAAACTACTGCGGCTCCAGTCTGTGGTGTTTGCATTTCACAACTTTTGAGATGTTTGACATTTGCGTTCTACTCAGACTGCAAATTACGTCATTGATTCTTCTTCTGAATCTAGGTTTCAAATATTCAGACTTCAGTAAAACTCAAAATGTTTCATGACACAGTTGTTGAGAACATTTCCAAATTGAACGCATCACTGACAAACATTACATCCGATGCAATTCATGTTTTAACTTGTACCATGTATTCCTGTTCTTTTAGGTGAACATTTGCACCTGATATGATCACTACTGATGGTAAACACATGCTAATATGGTCGGAATCGGACATTGGACATTTTAATAAAAAGCTACGTCCTAATTCTGGATGAGGGTAATGTTGATTACATGAAATGAATCAGAGGATTAGAACTTGGTTGATTTAATTGCAGTACACAGACACAGGCTATCTCATGATATCCATCACTGGTTTACCTGCTTCAGACTTGAACCAGGAACGAATAAGTTCGGTTTCTTTTTTTAACAAATATTAGATGGGTTGAATGCAGTTTCTTTTCAATTGCAGTAATGTTTTCTTTCCATTGTGTAGATGTAGACGGCGATAAAGGAAAATGTTAAGAATGTTTCAAAAGTGAATAGGATTGTATGAAATACAAAGGATCAGATAAAATTGCTCTGTAAAATAAGTGACGAAATATACACTCTTAAAAAAGAAACGCATATGCCATTATTAGAATAATTTATGCGACAAATGTCCAGTCACTTTTGTCCAGAACCCATTTCTATGTGTAGAACAAAGACATTTTGTTCCTGCAATTGTCAGTGGTAGCAAATTAAGACTGAAGCATTAGTAAAATGTAAAGCCTGGTCAGCAACAGCGCGGCGAGATAGATTGTACGTCTTTGTGTAGAAATGAACGTGTTCTTCATTATAGCAGGATCCTTCCGAGATGGTACAGTTTTAGTTTTGAAACTCTTTTTATTTTATTGATGTGTGTCTGCCTGCCCGTCTGTATAACCATTTAAGAGACTCGATACATCAGCAATATTCTACTTATTTTGATGTTAGGACAAAATACAAAGAGGTGTATCACAGCACCAAGGTATAATCACCAGGGCAGTTGTAGCCAACATTGACCAGTAATCAATACGTGCTAATGATCGTGGCGTTTCATGTTTCCCCAGATGTTATCGCTAACCTACATATATAACAGCTCGTGGGTTACAAACAGAAGTTTTATATAATTCCTTCATGGAGAGGGGGGATATGTCATCTTCCTATCACACGGCGGGCGGTTGTATTATGTTCGAAAAGCAAAATTCTTTTGAAAATCTTTGATTCCTAACCCAGGTGACAAGCACACACTCACCCCAAAAAGAAACTTTACATGGAAATGCATTATTAGTTATATCAAACCTAGTGTAACGCAAATACTCATTTTGTTTTGGTACTAAACAATAATACAGGTTTTTTCCACATGAGCACCACGTCTACTGTAAGTAACCGAGTCGCAAAGTCCTACAGGATTTCTAAAACGGAGTGCATGTAACGAAGTATATAAAACTGATGCACATTATAAGTTATTCATCAACATGAAAAAGGTATCTAATATCGTGTGTTATCACCTTTGATCATCCTATATAAGCATTATAGAGGGCTTCTATACTACTTATATACCTCTATACCTATACATTACGGTAAACCTACACGATCCCTTGTATCTATTCATTCTTTTCCTACATTCAGCTGAATGTATAAACCGATCCATCCCATTACCAAAACTGGAGTTCCAGGAGCTCTGCAAAGAAGTCCTGCAAGATTAACATTGGCTGCTTCCCGTCTGGATGACCCAATTCCTCGCTGCCGTTGTTCTGCAATGTGTCAGGCCATTCTATTGGCTGTTTACTGCCGATATGCTTACAGTGATGCAGCTTTGGTTCGTGCAGTGTTCTACATATGCAGTGCTATGTAGCGAAACACGTGATGGTACCAGTGTTTGAACATATGCAGTGCTTGTACGTAGCAAAACACGTGATGGTACCAGTGTTTGAACATATGCAGTGCTTGTACGTAGCAAAACACGTGATGGTACCAGTGTTTGAACATATGCAGTGCTTGTACGTAGTAAAACACGTGATGGTACCAGTGTTTGAAAATATGCAGTGCTTGTACGTTGCAAAACACGTGATGGTACCAGTGTTTGAACATATGCAGTGCTTGTACGTAGCAAAACACGTGATGGTACCAGTGTTTGAACATATGCAGTGCTTGTACGTAGCAAAACACGTGATGGTACCAGTGTTTGAACATATGCAGTGCTATGTAGCGAAACACGTGATGGTACCAGTGTTTGAACATATGCAGTGCTTGTACGTAGCAAAACACGTGATGGTGCCAGTGTTTGAACATATGCAGTGCTTGTACGTAGTAAAACACGTGATGGTACCAGTGTTTGAACATATGCAGTGCTTGCGTAGCAAAACACGTGATGAAACCAGTGTTTGAACATATGCAGTGCTATGTAGCCAACATTGATGGTACCAGTGTTTGAACATATGCAGTGCTTGTACGTAGCAAAACACGTGATGGTACCAGTGTTTGAACATATGCAGTGCTTGTACGTAGCAAAACATGATGGTACCAGTGTTTGAACATATGCAGTGCTTGTACGTAGCAAAACACGTGATGGTACCAGTGTTTGAACATATGCAGTGCTTGTACGTAGCAAAACACGTGATGGTACCAGTGTTTGTGCTTGTACGTAGCAAAACACGTGATGGTACTTAGTGTTTGAACATATGCAGTGCTTGTACGTAGTAAAACACGTGATGGTACCAGTGTTTGAACATATGCAGTGCTATGTAGCAAAACACGTGATGGTGCCAGTGTTTGAACATATGCA